TTGTTGTTTGGCGGGCCTGGGCTGGATTCGAACCCGCCACCTTAGGTGTATGTGGCTGGTGCCTTAGCCACTTGAGCCACAGGCGCCGAGCCAGTCACTTAGTTTTATAAGATCTTTATGTAAATGTACAGCATGTAAAATGCATAACATCTATGTATATAAAATGACTTTATAAAAACATGTAGCATTGGGGCAAGGATGGGTGATTGCCTAATGGAATGGAAAGTTCAGAAATAGATCCTACTCAGAAGTAGAATCTTTTTTTTTTTTTTTTTTGGCCAGGGCTGGGTTTTGAACCCACCACCTCTGGCATATGGGGCCGGCACCCTACTCCTTGAGCCACAGACGCTGCCAGAAGTAGAATCTTGATAAAGAGGCATGGATCACAAGGGAAAGGACAGATTTGTCATTAAATGGTTCTAAGATACCTAATTATCCATTAAAAAAAATTGGATTCCTAACTTGTATCATGCAAAACATTGTACATGTAAATGGAGACACTTTAAAACCTTGAAGAAAATATAGTAAGATGTCTTCATGACCTTGATAGGGAGGTATTTCTTACATAAGATACAAATGACACTAGAACCATAAAACTAGAAAGATTCATATAAGTACGTTAACCATAAGACACCAAGCCTAGTGAAAATACAAGTTACAAACCAGAAGAGGTTTTTGATGTGTAGCACATAACTGGTGGCACATAGACTATGTAAAGAACTACCTGTTAATAAGAAAGATGCAACTGTGAAATAGAAAAGTGGTCAAGAGACTTAATAGGCATCTCAATGAGAAAACTAATGGAAAACTAATGCTCAACCTCATTAGTAACTGAGAATTCTCAATTACTAATGGAGGTTACACTATCCTTTTACACCCCCTAAATAAGCAGGAATTTATAAGCCCAATAATGTCATTACTGGTAAGGATGCGGAGCAATGCATGTTAACTAGGGTGACCAGACATCCTGCTTTTCAACAATTTGTCCTGCATCCCACGGCGTTTTAAAAAAGTCCTGATTTTTGGAAAGAATGCACAAATGGACAGGAGAACAGGAAGGGAATATACGGTTTTCGGCTGCCATGTGGCTATTTCGCCTGAATATGAGTTTTATATTATTTTTGTTAATTTTATAATGTTAAACTGTAATAATCACTGCTCAACAATTATTTGTAATTATCAAGAACTGCTTATCAAAATTACATTGTTGTCAGGCTCTGCCCCCCCTCCCCCGGCCATGTTGTCCCGCTTTACAAATGTTAAAATCTGGTCACCCTAATGGTAACACACCCTATTGATAGGAATATAAACTGTTTTCCAAGTTGTAGCAATCTTAACATCTTGGGTGGTTGAAATGTACATACCCCGTGACCCAGATTCTACTTCTAGGTCATCTTGCATGTGAGTACCTGCACCCCTGAGCTCATACTTTTGCCCCCAGCCCTAGGTAATCACTAGTCTGCTTCCTGTCTCTTTGGGTTTGTCTATTCTGGACACTTCACAGAAGTAGAATCATATAGGGTCTGTTGTACTGGCTTTGTAATGTTTTCAAAATTCATGTTGTAGCATGTTATCAATATTTTAAATTGCTCTTTAACATTCTCATATTTTATATATCATATTTTATTCATTCATCAACCCAAGGACACTTGGGTAGTTTCTACTTCTCAGTTACTATGAATAGTGCTGCTATGAACATTTGTGTGCAAGATCTTGTGTTAACATGTCATCACTTCTTTTGGGCATACAGCTAGGAGTGGAACTGCTAGGTCCTCCATATTAACTGCTAAAACATTTTCCAAAGTGGCTACACTATTTTTTATTCTTACCAGCAGTGTCTAATCTCCACATCCTTGCCAACACTTGTCATTTTAATTATTACCATCCTAGTGGGTGTCAAGTATCTCACTGTGGTTTTGATTTCATTTCTCTAATGCCTTAATGAGTATCTTTGTATGTGTTCTTTGGTCATCTGTATACATTTGGAGAAATATCTGTTCACATCAGTTGCCTCTTTTTCAACTGGGCTGTGTTTTGTTGAGTTGTAAGAATTCTTTACATATTCTAGACATATGTCTCTTATCAAATATGTCATTTGGAAATGCTCTTGCATTCTATGGGTTGTCTTTTTTTCACTGTATCCTTTGAATGCCAACATTTTAAATTTGGAAGTCCAACTTACTCATCTCATAATTGCTTTCTGGTGTCATGTCTAAGAAGTCTTTGTCTTGAAGATTTACTCTTATGTTTTCATGGAAGTCGATGGTTCTCAACCTGTGGGTTGTGACCCCTTTGGACTGTATTAAAGATTTGCAGCATTAGGAAGGTTGAGAACCACTGATGTAAGTCTTATAGTTCTAGGTTTTACATTTGGGTCTGTGTGATCCATTTGGAGTGAACTTCTGTGTAGGGTTTAAGGAAAGGCTCTATCTTTATTTTTGCATGTAGCTATTCAGTTCTAGTACCACTTACTTAAGACTATTCTTCCCCCAACATACTTCTTTCTACTGTATTAAATATTATATGCCTTTTCTATAAATAAAAAAAGAAATAGGAAATGATGTGGCAAGAGCTCTGTAGAACTTTCCTGGAGGACTGTCATGGGGAGAGGAGCATGGGAGGTGGAATTGGCTGTGATCAAGGAAGGTTTTATCAAGATGGTGAACATGAGAGCATATTTGGATACTGAAATGATGACCCACTGGAAAAGGAATGAATATGGGAGCAGGGGGAGAAAGAATATCCAGAAAGTTGGGGAAGGGTTGCCCTCAGTAGGAGCTGAGGCATTTCCTTGTACCTACTGGGAAGGAGGAAGGAGTAAATTGAAGTTTGCAGGAGGCTCTTTTTCTTGGTTTTTTTTTTTTTTTGAGACAGTCTCACTTTGTTGCCCCTGGCAGAGTGTCATGGCATCACAGCTCACAGCAACCTCAAACTTGTGGGCTCAAGCTATTTTCTTGCCTTAGTTTCTTGAGTAGCTGAGACTACAAGCTCCTACCACAACACTGTCTATTTTTAGAGATGGGGTCTCACTCTTGCTCAGGCTGGTCTCGAATCCATCAGCTCAGGCAATCCACTCACCTCAGCCTCCGAGAGTGCTAGGATTACAGGTGTGAGGCACTGGGCCTGGCTGTAGGAGGTTCTTCATGTACAGATGGGGCCTCAGTCCCATAAAAAATGAAGTGAGGCCAACAGGAGGGTGGGGAGGAAGGGATGGAATAAAGGAAAACACTTGAAGCAGCCGACTGGAGAGCAGCAGGAGATGAGGCCTGGTGGAGGTGCATGTAGCAGGTCTGTGGTCTGAGGCTGAGCAGGTGGGAGGTGGGATAGGGATGCTTGGTCCTCCAGGACTGGGATTTTACGATCAGGCATGACAGAAGGGAAGGTTGGGGAGTGATTGCAATGAGGGCTGAGGAGTGGAAGCCAAGTGACGAGTGTTCAGGGGCTTGGCAGTTCTGCAGAACCGCGCTGCCTCAGCAAGTGAGCTGGAGCAGAGGGGGTATCTGTAGAAGGGCGGCAGCTGGGAACTGAGACGTCAGGAATGGCAGCCTTCTTAGGCATAACACCTCAGGGAGGTCAGGGGGTGTGAGGTCAGTGGGGCCAGGCAGGGAGAATTTGCCAGGGTGGATGAAATATGGCAGGGTGGATTTGGTTGGTGTTTGGCAGAGGGAAGAGTGGCTTCTTGTGAAGCTCTTGAGTGACAGTGACTGGGCTAAGAGGCAGCTTTGAGGAGATAGGCTGTGGGCTGGCCTGAAAACTTGGTCTACAATGAAAAGTAGTGGGTGGTAGTCGTGGTCTGGGGTGGCAGCAAAGAAAGCAGCAAGGAGGAGCCAACCTACCTCCTGGCACCACGTGTGGGCCTGAGATCACTCACCTGTATCTTCCTGGTGCTGTGAGTGGAGGAATTGTTCTGGAAGAGGTCTCAGATGTAGGTTGAGAGGTAGGGTATTGCTGTACAGAGTGGCCCAAGGTGGGGGCTATGGCGATAGATCAGGTGGGTTAACTGTCACAGAAGCCTTGGGTGTGGTGACTGTGGAAGCCTGAGTGGCCTGACCTGGTAGTAATCCTTAGGTGCCAGTGGGGGGTGGGGAATGGGGTGGCTCTGTTGTCCTAGTCTCTAATGGGGGAACTTGGATCTTGAAGACATGCAGTGGTGGCTTAGCAGTGATATGGTGGGTTACCATCCCTGTGAGCTGGGCTCTCTGTTCCCATGAATAAAGCTGAAGCCAGATCTGGCTCTGTGCAGCTGACATAGGGGCTTTCTTCCTGTAATTCTGAGACCTGATCCCTTGTCTCTTCTGTTCCAGGGTCCCAAGCCTACAGCAGCCGTAGGAGCCCTGCTCCTGCCTCCAGACCATCCCTGCAGTGGCTTCTGGAGGTGCTGTCGGGGGAACCCGCGAGCCTTGACCCTAGCAACCCCAGGCCTGAAGGCCAGGATGTTTCTGAAGGGCCTGGAGAGAACTCACGTGGGTGGGAGTCCCCTGCCCTGAAGAAGTTCATTGTGGAGGCCTCAGCAAGGATACCTCAGACCCCAGCTTCCTCCTCAGGGTCAAGGCCTAAAGTGAGCGTTCCTGCTATTGCTCTGGTGCAGCAGTGGCTGGCCCAAGTGCCCACTGAACCCCCAGCCTCCTCTTCAGAAGCAGGAGACCAACCAGTGCCTATCCAGGCTCCTTTGGGGAGCCCAGCTCTGCCAGGAGGCTGTGTACCTGGAAGTCACTTCAGGGAGCTGCCTAGAGATTAAGCCTGTGGCTTCTACCCCCAAGTGGGGAAGGTACCTTCTGCCCTGAGGAGCTGGATTGTCCAACCCTTGGCCCCTCTAGGCAGCCCCTGTGTCCCAGTCCCAGGCTGGGCACCTCTCAGAGGTGCCCAGGCCTCTTCCTCTGTCCCTTTCCCACTATGTTTCCAGGGACAGAGGGCCTTTAGTTCTGTCATAGGGAAAGGCAGGCCTGGCCCTGCCTGCTCTTAACTTTTATCTCATCCCTGAAGGATGCTGGGAATGGAAGGTGACATTCTCTAGGGACAGGGTCCTGGGGGAGTAAGTCAGAAAGAGGCAGGTTCTAGCTCTATGGGCCCCTAGCAACCCCCCTGTGCCTGAGGCCCAACCCCAGCATGGATGAACGGCAGTGTTCCCGCCTCTTCCTGTGGCTGGGACCCTGGGAATAGCCTCCTGTCCCTGACGTCTGGGCGCTGGGGTTGTTGCTCTGTGGCCGTGGCCTCTAGCCTGCTCTCTAGGAGGCCTTGAGAATCCAACTTGCTCCCTTGTAGAGCAGGAAGGTGCCAGATGGAGGAGTGCTGCTGGGAGGAGAGAGCAGTCGGGACCCTCAGCAAGCATGCGAGGCCTCTGAACGGAGCACTTGAAGCACATCTTCACCCCAGAGCCATGTTTGCAGGAGACTTGCCCGCTGAGGGCTCAGTCAGCAGAGGCTGGGGAAGGAGCTGGGGGTTACCCACTTGTTTTCCTTTAGCCAAGCCCTCTTCTTCCCTAGCTTCACACCTTCCCCATGAGCTTTGTCCCAGGACTGAAGACAGTCTCCAGGGTGCCAGTGAGTGGGCATGAGTCAGAAGCCCCTCAATCCCTCAGGGGCACTTTTCTTATGGTCTGTCATAAGGTCGAGGTGGTCCTGCTTGGAGTGGGGGGAGGTAGGAGCCTCAGATGTTTGGGGGAGGCAGAAATAAAGCTGGTGCTGGCTTTGTGCACTGACTACCTCATGCGTTTTGATGTCTTTATTCCCCACCCTCACTCCCCTCTAGCTGCCAGGGTTATGCTGATCTGCCAGAGGAGGAAACAAGCTTTGGGAGCAGATATTCAAGGGGATGTGGCTGGGGCCCAGTGGTGCATGGCTGAGGCTTGGGCTTAAGGTCCAGGGAGCGCTTGACCTCTACCAGCTTTCTGGAGTGGCCACATCCTGGGGGTGTGTCAAGGGATATGAGGACAGGCTCCTGGGTTTCAGTCTTGAGTCAGTTTTGAGACTCAGGCATTAGTATGAAGGAAGAATGATGGGATGTGAGCACACTGTCTAGGGCTCTGGTCCTGCCCCTAGAATGGTGACAGCCCCACTGGGAGCCTCCCAGACAGAGACAGTGGGCCACCCCAGGAACAGTGTATGTAGTGATTATTAAAGAAATGACTGTCTCACAACCTACTGGCCTCTGAGCGCTGTGCCAGGGCTCTGGTACTGGGCTGAGGCTTGGTGGTCACACTGGGTCAGAGGAGGTGATAGGCCAAGAGGTTCCCCACTCAGAGGTTGTCCAGCAGGAGTCTCCCATTAGGATTTGGCTCTTAGTCTACGAATCTGGGTTCTTCTGAAGATGGGGCTGGCTGGGCCCGGTGCCTCATGGGGAAGACAAGATGGGGTGGGTAATAACCAGGCCATAAGAAAACATTTGGTACTCACCATATGGGGAAGGGGAGCATTGCTTTAGGTTGTTGCTCAGGAAGGGCCCTCTGAGGAGGTGGCATTTCAGCTGAGATCTCAGTGACAGTGCTGTGAGCCCTGAGATAGGAAGAAGTAGTGAGAGGGTGGGGTAGGCAAGGGGGAGAGTTTTAGTCCAAAAGCAACAGGGAGCTGGAGGGTTCTAAGGCTCTGACTTAGGTTTAAAAAGTCTTTCTGGATACATCCTGGAAAATGGGTCAGGAGCAGAGCAGTTAGGAAGCCACTGCAGTTACACAAGACAATGTGATGAGGGCTGCGGAGATGGACCGAAGTTGGTGCTTTTAGAGTGTGCCTGGGGGTCGAGGCAGCCACTCCTGGCGATTGCATGCAGCAGGTGAGGGCACAGCTTCAGGTGGGGAATAGCACTGAGAACCTGGGGACAGGCAGTACAGGGAGGGGGAAGTGTGTGTGCTGAAGGAGACTGGGTTCAGGGGAGGGAGCTGGGAGGAGCTGCATGGCAGAGCCTTGGCATCTGGAAGGGAGCCCTGAGCTTAGACACAGAAGAGGGGTCCCAGGACGAAGCTGGGGCACTGCTCCATTCATAGCAGCATTTCCCAGTCTTGGCATTATTATCGTTTTGTGCCTGATAACTGCTTGCGTGGGCGCTGTCCTGCACACTTGCAGGACTTTGGCGGCATCTTTGGCACACTAGATGCCAGTAGTACTCCCCTCCCTCAGTTGTGACAGTCACAGGTGTCTCCAGACAATGCCAAACATCCCTTGTAGTGAAGAAGGGAATCTTGCTGAGAACCTCTGATTTAGAGTTTGGGAGAAGGAAAGGAAGCTAAGAAGAGGAGGCCTGTAGGGAAGGGGCAGAACCTGCAGAGTGTTCCAAGGGCAGTTCTGCTGTGGCAAGTGCTGCTGAGAAACAGGAGGAGGGCACAGGAATAAGCCTGGCACTTGGTGACATGGAGTCACACATGACCCACAAAGAGGCGACTCAGTGGGCGGGCTTAAAATGCTCTGCCAAGCATTAGGGAGAGATAGGAGTCAAAGAAGCCTGGAGGCAAACATTTGGAGGAGGCAGAGGCTGTGGGGGTGGTGGCCAGGAGACTGGATAATGGCAGGAGTGTCCTGGGCCAGATGAAGGGGTGGGCTCCAGGGCACAGAGCACTTGCTCTTCTAGTAGAGCAAATCCAGTTAGAGCTCAGCTGTGGGTGGGTGTAGGGGGTGAGTTCCTGCTTAATGACTAGCATTTTCTCCTAAGTATCAGGCAGAGTCGCAGAGCAGAGCGGCATGGGGGTGGGGAGAAGCTGGGAGGCTGGAGAGGAGAGGAAGGGATGCTGATTTAAGGAGTGGGAGAGAGAGCATACTAGGCAAGTTGGAGATTTATGGTCATGCATTTAAAGCGAGGCCAGTCGATGTAGAGAGTGTTTTGCTCCGGAAAAAGCAGCCGCCTGGTCGAAGGCAGGCAGTGGTGGATGATTTAGGTTTGATCAGGGCTGGGGTTTGGTCAGGCACTTATGACAAAGGACGACTGACTAATGTTACAGAGGGCACGACTTGAGGCTCTGGGATGTGGGGCAGTTGGGACATACAGGGTGGTCTAGGGATAAGGGTCCCAGGGACTGAAAAGGCTGGGGCTTCTGGGGAAAGCTGGGGTGTGCTAGTCAGTCCTGGTGGACACTTAGGGGACAGAGGGCGTGGCTGTGGGCTGCTGTGCCACTACCTCACCTCTCAAGCCTGGAAAAGATCTGGCTTCCAATTAAGATGCCAGATCTTACACTGGGCTCTCTCATCAAGGGATGGGACAATTGTCTCACTCTTCTTTGAACAAGATGGTATCGTTTACATACTAGATCATCTTTCCTCATGGCCTCTCTTTCAAGGATATCCCTCCAAGACTCTTCACTGGTGCATTACCTGTCTGAGAATGCTCATGTGTATGTATACACTGATGCCTGCTGCCACCATCCCTCACCAGCCAATGACCTTGGACCAGGCATTCGGGACTGAGAAGGGATGTCTGCTCTGATGGAGGTGGTATGTGACAAAAACAAAACCATCAGACACCATCTTAGTACAGTGTGCTCAATGTTAAAATGGTGCTGTGAGTGTGGCATCAGGAAACCTGGAGAACAGGGGACCTCACTCTGAGAGAGTGGTGGCACATGGGTGTGTAGGGGCCTGCCAAATGCAGAAGGAAGGAGGAGAGGGTATTTCTGGCAGTGCAAATAGCCCCTGGAAAGGATTGAGAGGTGGGGACCCAGAGCACGACTAGAGACCAACACTAGCCTGGTAGGGCAGGGGCAGAGGGCTGGGATCCTCATGCCTATTACCCCCATACATGGCTGGGAATATTCTAGGCAATTCCTGCTGCTGGCTGTTTTAGGTCTAGGACTGAACTCTACTAGCCTTGGGGGAATGGGATGACAGTGGAAGGTCAGGCTAATTTGGAAAGAGCTGAAGGAAGCCTGGCCACTTCCTGCACCTTGCAGTCTTAAGGGTTGGGTCGGATAGGCAAAGCCTGGAGGTATACATGAAGAAAGAGAGCCACAGGAGTGGGAATTGAGTTAGGAAATGGCCCTCCCTGCCCCGGAGAGCTGGTGGCAGTTGCGCTAGCCCATCCTGGGGTGGGGCTGAGAGGAGGCTACAGTGGTGGAGGCAGAAGGCAACACAGAGCCTGGGGCAACAGTTGAGCCTTGTGGGTGTTGAAGAGCTCCTGCCCCCTTAAAGAGCACACATTTCTCTGGGGACTTTGGCTGTCCCCAGCTGGCTTAATAGAGTGCCCAGCAGGGCCTGGTGCTTGGTAGGTCCAAAGTTGTCACTTTAGAGTGGGCCCAGGTGAGCATTCTGAGTGGGGACTTGCAGGATGGGAAGGTAAGTGGGCAACCCTGGCTTCAGTTCCTGCAGAATCCTGGCATCCTGGCCCTTGGGAGAAAATGGGCCAGAGGACAAAAGGCTGGTGCTGGTTCAGCATCTGGGGAGATGCTCAACCCACCCCAACCCCTAGCCTGAGGATGTTTGGAGGTGGTAGAAAGATAGCTCTTCCTGGTGCCCACTTGGACCTCCAGGGTATCTGACTCGGCAGGTCCTGGTGCAGGGAACAATGGGGACAGGCAGGAATTTGCCCAAGTAGCTGCTTCTTAGTTGCAATGGCTACCCCTCTATGCATCCTCAGGGAAGGGGCTATTTCGGCCTGTGCACCCCTGGTGATGAGGGGCCCCAGGGCCTGCCCTGCCCAGCCCAGCAAATGGGAACCTGTAAAACCCATCTCTGGAATGATCTGCTTCAGAATGAGGCCTGGGGGTGCAAAGGAGGCTGGCTGCCCTCTCCAAACTTAGCCTAGGCAACACCACCCCATTGGGCTGTGGGTACTCACACCTAACAGGAAAGCTTGGCAGTCTGGCAGGATGACAGGAACAGCAGGGGATCAAGCAGGTGCAGCTGTGGGGGGTGTTGGGGTCTCTTCTATCTGAACCTGGGTAGGGGTTAGACATTTCCGGGACTGAGAGGTCACATGCTCTGCTCCCATGCAGGTGGGAAGGCAGGAGCAAAGGTACCAAGAGGCATTCTGTTTCAAGGGGGGCCTTTGGTGGAGCCCCACTTTCAGAGGAGCAAGGCTTATTTATAAGAGATGCCATGCAGAGCTGTGGGCCGTAAATAGGCGGCTTGGCTCTAGGCTGAGCTCATGGCATCAGGGGTTCCATTGAGGCTGCCCAGGCTGGAGCTGGGCACCTGACGGAAAGCCGCTGCTCGGCATCTTTTTGAAGGTGAGGGGCTTAGTCTGAAATTTCTTCTTACTCCAACTCTCCTTTGCACTGTTACCAGCAGGGGACATCGGTGTATATGGGGAAGGCAGGTAGGACTGGAGCAGAGATGGGGGTTGGCCCCTTCCCTAGCAGTCACTACAGAGGCAAGGGAAAGCGCCTCCCTTCACAGCTGCCCCTGAGACCCTGCTTTCTCTCATGAAAAGGACCCCTTACGCCCGCAAGGCCTCCTTGCTCTGCTCCAGGTGAGGAACCTCATCTTTCCCCGTTAGCCAAGAGGCTGCAGTTCACTCCCTCCCGCCCACTCCCCGCAAACCCTTCCCTGAGTCTCACTAGCTACTGTGATTTGAGTTCAAGCCAGTTTCCTTCTTACCTCCTTTGCCCTTACTAGAGAAAACTGGGGCAGCTGCGGGAGAAACAGGAAAGCTGGTCACAAGTCGCTTTTCCCTGGGTTGGGAGCCCTTTCAGCAGCCCCAGGATGCGGAGAAGACTGTCTCGGCACACAGACGGCAGCAGGGGGCGCTCGCAAGCCGGCGACGCGCGCTTTTCCTGCTCTGCAGGCCCGACGGAGCGCAGCCAGGTGGGGAAGCGTTTGGGGAAGGGCTTCGGGACTGTCTTGCCGCTCCCTTTCTTCCGCTAGGTTTCTTCATTGCTGGGGGCCAGGTGGGGTTGCGGCATATTATGACCCAGCGCCCCAACACACCCACTCACCCACCCCTCCTTGGGGATCTTGGGTGGCGGAAGGATAGAACTGCCCGCGCCCACCGTCCTAGACCCCAGCCCAGGGTCTGCAGGAAAGTGGTCCCGCCTCGGTGCGGGCCGACGCGTCAGCTCCGTATCTCAGATCCTCGCACGCACCCACCCTTTCACTTCTGCCAGTGTCCTTCCTAGAGCCTCGAAGATCCCAGACCCCTACTGACCTCCTAGGGCGCCACGGCCAAGAGTATTAGGGCTAGGGGCGTCAGGCAGAGGCCGGGGAGCATAAGGCTGCCGCTGCCAACCCTCCCGCGGTGCACCTTCCGCCCACCTTCGGTCCGATCGCCCGCCCCGCCTCCCTCCCCTCCTCCCGCTCCCGCCTCCAGTCTCCTCCCTCCTCCAGCCGCGCTCTCTCTTCGCCCCACTCCCTTGTCGCGACGGGCTGCCGGCGGGCGCGGCTCCGAGCGAGCGCCTGCGAGAAGAGCGGGCACCTCTGCCTCCGCTCCTCTGCCCCGCGTCCAGTCCGCTGGGTCTGCTCCCTACTGCGCGCGCGGCAGCCGTGTGGCGGGAGGGCGCTACTTTCTCCCGGTCGCGGGCAGTACGGGGACGGCAGCGGGACAACTTGGAAAACTTCTATGAGCGAGTGGCTGGGATGCTGGGCGCTGGTAGAAGATGTAGGAGGGCAGTGGCCGGTCCTGGGTGTCCCCCGTCCTCCTGGGTCCTGTTGGGCCAGGCCATGGGGATCTAGCGCCTTCAGCGTCTCCGGGTGGGTGACCCCCTCGTCTAGCCGAGCCAGGGCTACGCTCTCGCCTGCAGCGCGCTCGCTGGACAGGGAGCGTTCCCTCTGTCCTCGTCCGGCTCAGCTATGGACCACTGGGAGCCCTACTCGGTGCAGGCCACGGCGGCCATCGCGGCGGCCATCACCTTCCTCATCCTCTTCACCATCTTTGGCAACGCGCTGGTCATCCTGGCTGTGTTGACCAGCCGCTCGCTGCGGGCCCCGCAAAACCTGTTTCTGGTGTCGCTAGCAGCCGCTGACATCCTGGTGGCCACGCTCATCATTCCTTTCTCGCTGGCCAACGAGCTGCTGGGCTACTGGTACTTCCGGCGCACGTGGTGTGAGGTGTATCTGGCGCTCGACGTGCTCTTCTGTACCTCATCCATCGTGCACCTGTGTGCCATCAGTCTGGACCGCTACTGGGCAGTGAGCCGCGCGCTGGAGTACAACTCCAAACGCACCCCACGTCGCATCAAGTGCATCATCCTCACTGTGTGGCTTATTGCAGCCGTTATCTCGCTGCCTCCTCTCATCTACAAGGGTAAACAGAAACCCCAGCCTCGCGAGCGCCCTCAGTGCAAGCTCAACGAAGAGACCTGGTACATCCTATCCTCCAGCATTGGATCTTTCTTTGTTCCTTGCCTCATCATGATCCTTGTCTACCTGCGCATCTATCTGATTGCCAAACGCAGCCACCGCAGAGGTCCCAGGGCCAAGAGGGGCCCTGGGAAGGGTGAGTCCAAGCAGCCCCAACAAGTCCCTGGGGGGACTTTGGCCTCAGCTAAGCTGCCAACCCTGGCCTCTGCTGGAGAGGCCAATGGACTCTCCAAGCCCACTGGAGAGAAGGAGGAAGGAGAGACACTTGAGGATGTTGGGAGCCAACCCTTGCCACCTGGCTGGGCTGCCCTTTCCAACTCAGGCCAGGGCCAGAAGGAGGGTGTTTGTGGGGCATCTCCAGAGGAGGAAGCTGAAGAAGAGGAAGAGGAGGAGGAAGAGTGTGAGCCTAAGGCAGTACCAGTGTCTCCTGCCTCAGTCTGCAGCCCACCCCTGCAGCAGCCACAGGGCTCCCGGGTGCTGGCCACCCTACGCGGCCAGGTGCTCCTGAGCAGGGGTGTGGGTGCTGTGGGTGGGCAGTGGTGGCGTCGAAGAGCACAGCTGAGCCGTGAGAAACGGTTCACCTTTGTGCTGGCTGTGGTCATCGGTGTCTTTGTACTCTGCTGGTTCCCCTTCTTCTTCAGCTACAGCCTGGGTGCCATCTGCAAGCCCTGCAAGGCGCCCCGTGGCCTCTTTCAATTCTTCTTCTGGATTGGCTACTGCAACAGCTCACTGAACCCTGTCATCTACACCATCTTCAACCAGGACTTTCGCCGTGCCTTCCGAAGGATTCTTTGTCGCCAGTGGACCCAGACGGCCTGGTGAGCCCACCTGCTGCTTGCTTGTGTGGGCTTGGTGCCAGGTGGCATCAGGCCACCAGTACCCTGCTTTGTGCAGCCATCTCCCTGAGGCTTTCTGATTCCTTCCCTGGGAGGGTTGGGACAGACGTGCTGGTCATAGGGGTCCACATGAAGCCTCCCCTTGCTGGCTTGGCTTTGGGTGACACCTTCTCCACCCCTTGCCTGAGCACAGGCAAATGGATGAGGCTCAAATGTTCCTGAATATAGCTGACACCAGGCTAGAATAGAGTACCTCTCTCCCAGAACCCCAGAACCCCAGGCCCCTGCAAGCCAATGGGTGGGCATCCTTTTCTTTTTGGTTGCAGCTGTCATTGTTTGGCGGGCCCGGGCTAGATTCGAATCCGCCACCTTAGGTATATGTGGCTGGCGCCTTAGCCACTTGAGCCACAGGCGCCGAGCCTGGGCATCCTTTTCTTGAGGATCCTGTGTTCCTTGGTAGGTCACTTGTTTGTCGTATTCTTGTTTCTTTCCCATTTCCCCCTACCCACAAAGAGCAGGAAGCCAGCCCCCTTCCACTTTTCTGAGGAGGGCCTGCTGCTGAGGAGGAGGAAGAAATGAAGACTATTAACCCACGTTGGGCAGGTTGTCCCCATCAGGTGCTGCACTGGGGAGTTCATGGGATGGTACCGTCTCTGGGCCCATCTTTCCCCTCGTCCCCTGCTTTTGGATTTGGGGGTCCTTTAAAAGCCAGAACTGTGGATCTGTTTCCTCACCCATCACCCTCTGAAAGGCAGGTGGGCACGAGGATGCCTCCGTGGGGTGGTCTGGAGGCCTGGCCTCTGCCTCAACGGGAGATCCCCGATCACTGGCATTCACCTCCCTGCAAAAACTGGGGTGACAATAGCTTGCCGCCTACTTGCTGCAGGGAGATGAAAGCCTTTGCAGAAAGCTTTGAGCTCTGTGGGGGAACGCACTAGAGGACCAGAAAATGTGATTATCTG